TTTGTGCAAATGGCAGCGAATGAGGCAAGTTGTGTAAAGCGCTACATAAGAAGGAATTCTGTCCCTCCAGTTTGTTTAAAAGTAAGGTTTGGTATTAAATACCATAATGTTTGTCTCTGATGACACGTTTGATCCAGTTCAGGTTGACTTTGATGCTGATGAGATATTTCTCTCTCTGACTGATATTGACAAATATGAATCCCCAGATAAGGTAATTACTGCTTCTTTGGCTGGAATACCTTCAATTTCTTTATGGATACAAGCTTCTTTGAGAGGGAACAGGACATATTTTTATTTAAAGTAAGACCTGATACTTCAGAGAAAGCATTAATACAGTTTTTTTTTAATCGGAAACTCATCTTTCGAGGAGATAGCTGTATCATCTGTTAACTTCCTGACCTGAGATGGCGATCCCTTCAAATGCATCATTGTCTTGCTTGCACAAAGCCTGATCAACACTCAACTATAATGGTATCCAAACAGAATTTAAGTCTTTCTGTAAAAATATAAGATAGTAATTTGACATCATTGTTAATTTGTGTAATTGGCCTCCAATGATCATTTTGTAATGGATTCTTCTCAGGTTCAAGTGTAATTAAGTCCTGACACATTGGTGAAAGAAACCTACAAGCTTCTGTGGCCTCCTTTAAAACATTTAATAAGTCAGTGATGTGATCTTGAAAGAGCCTCTGAAATGTTCCAGTGAGTCCATCATCACTTGGGGATTTTTTCTTGTTCAGTTTACTTTCAGAGATAATTCTTGATCACATCATTTCATTGATTTTTGTCAATAATTTGTGCCCTCATTTTAATCTGTGTAAAGAAAGGTTAACTTTTTTCAGACTGTAGCTTTTGGTAAAATCCCTCAAAGACAGAGATTTGTTGAGTTTTCAGATATTTTCATTGTTCATTTTAAGTTTATGTATGTGGTTGATTTCTTTTTTCCAGTTGCTGTTCCTTTTGCGTTGCTCCATCCATTTAATGCTAATAAATAAGATTTAATTCAGACTGTAGTGAACTTGCTCATGAATAAAATAGAATTTTGTTTTTAGTCTCTTTTCTTTGACTTCTTCCTTCTCTTCATTGCAGAAATGTGATATTTTGTAAGTTGCCAGTGCTTTCTTAAACATTTTCTTCTGTAGCGTTTCTCCAATTACTGCTCGTAATATTTATAATGTCTTTTTTAATGAGGATATTATTATGAATATTATAAGCGTATTATTTAATTTCCAGTCATAAATGCTAGATAACATTCCAGCCGTTCCAGTATTTTGCTCAGGGACACTTTGACAGGTGGAGCCGTGGATCACTCCATCAGCCTTCATAAAGAAAGACAGCCCACTCTTTACCTGACACTTGCTCCCCCCGAGCTGCACAATAATCTTTTTGAGTGGAGCCTCTTAGTTTAACTGAGCTTGAATGGATCGCCTTGATGTTGCCAGTTAAACACTACGTATCACTGTTGTCACAAAATGAACCCTGCAGATTTTAACACCGGTGTTCTACGTGGTTTGGTTGAAGCCATCCTGATAACCTCATCCCAACAACGATGTGGAGATCCAACCTTTTTAGATCCAATTAAAATCAAGGCAGTCAAAAAGATGCTGGAAAAGAGGAGACTTCTTGGAACAGAGTTTAATACACTGAATCATATGAACAGCAAGAAAATGCATACAGAGTATAGCAAGCAAAGCAAAAGTCCCGGGGTGCACGGCCTTAAGCACAGGCAGCAGAGCGACCCAGAGATGGACAGAAAGCAGCAGGAGAAAAGGAAGTGCTGGGGTGTCCTCTGGTCCCCCTGCTGCTGGGTAACTTTCCCACCCGTCCTCAGGCCAAACACAGCTGCAGGGTCGGGTACCGGCAAAAGTCTTGGCCAAAGGCCAGTCAGGACTCTGACTAGCCTTTTCTTTGGCTTATCACAACAGGTCAGAACCAACTCAAACATTGCACATTAATTCAAATGATTAAATCTTACAACAGGCAGTCAGCATGTGGCACAATCTTATATTATACGTGTAAATGTGTGTGTGATCCTTAAGGTGATTTTATTGTGATGTATTCAGTGTCTGTGTTACAATGAGTGTGTATTGGGAGGAGTTATTAACATTAACTGTTAATGTACCACCTTTAATAAGCCAGGGTGAAGCAAAATGTCTTGTGCCAAAGACTCTACATGAAAGTTAAAATATATATTTTCAGTTCAGATAGACATATAGTGTGTATATAGTTACATAGGTTTACATGTCATCCAAAAATCCACCACACTAGTTAGCAAACCTGTGCACTAACCAGCCACTCTTTCTTTTTGTGTAACATTTGCTTTAGTTACAAAAACCCACAGAACAATCAAATCGTACAAACTGTATGATCTACTCCTAACTCTGTAAGACAAAAATTACTGTAAAGAAATGTAACAATTAATCATACGTTTGTATGTAACACAGCACAGACTGCTTTATCTGGAGCCGTGATTCCTTGAATCATGCTTTCCTCCTTCTTATGGCATTTAGAAAATTTGATGGCCTCTAATTTCACGGTTTTTGTGCCTACAGTAAAGCTATTAGTCTTGCTGTGGGGAGGCGCCTGCTGCCCACAGTTGGAACAAAACACTGACTGGCTGCTCTCATCAAAAACAAGCCAGTCGCGTAGCTCACCAATGTCAGCTTGTTTCACTTTTTCGTTAAAAACAAATCACAGTTTAACTTTGGGTTCTTCACTTGACACGTCCCACTAAACTCCAGAAATGTAAATCTACATTGCAAAAGCTACTGTTGAAAGTTCCCTTCTCCTTCCCCTTTTCCATTAGCACCTCCTCGGATCCACTTGTTTTTTGTAGCCATTTCTCCCCTTGCCGGGTTTCAAACATGGCAGTTTTAATTTTCGTGAACAGGACGCTCTCATGACTCATCGTGTGACGCTACTGACCAGCCAGTCTGACGACGTCACATTTTAGTATCTGCTCGGATCGCATCGTGGCATTTAGATAGCAGAAACCCAGGCGCATCTCAAATTGAACGTGTTTTTCTGTTCAAATTTAAACTCGCCACAGTGGCTTGTGCATTGTTCAAATTTACACCCACTTCATAAATGTAGCCACATTAGGCCAGTGGCGGGTGCTAGTTCCCACCCCTGCCTGTGCATCAGATGAGTGTTAGGGCCAATGTTTGTTTTGTTTTGTTTTGGGGGGTTTTTGCCCTTTTTTTTCTAACATGCTCCACCCAACACCGAGAAATATCTCTGCACCTTCCAGGTTTTTCCAGTATGTTTTTTTTGTTCAGCACTTTGGTCCTTGGCAGGTTGTTCACGATTTTGGCAAGAGACTGGCTGCTCTTTGTGAAGACTGAAAGATAAATGTTTGCCATTTAAGGCCATGCAGACCAAGTGTCAGCCTCACAGGGCCTCCCGTTAAGCAGAGGTCGTGAATTGGTGTCAGTATCAGAGCACGTGTGTGTTCTGCAGCTTCGGCAGCACCGCCCATCATCTCACGTTTCTTGGAATCATTTGTAGTAAATAGTAAGAAAATACTTGGTTTGTTCTACATGATTAAGTGTGAATGTATGTTAAAAAATGTAATAACAAAACAACCAAAACTCTGTAATATCCCATAATACTACATGTACCATTTTGGGAAGATGCAGGATTGCATGTTTGTAAATATTCTGTAAGTATTTATGTTGAATGTAAATTTGCACATAATACAGATGGTTGTACCTCTGTCAGGTCTGTGTAAATATTTATCTGATTCTGAAAAGCAACAAATGTGTAATGGTTAAAAAATGAGCACAGCAGATGGATTTGTGTGTCTGCTCTAATGCTTTGAATGCTGTTGTGTGTGACTCGACCAGGC